ATATATATATAGTCTACAACAAAAACTGGTCAAATTATATTTATTTTTAAGTACTAAGTTTTAATATCCAATAGTAGCTAACCCTGTGGATGACATTTTTAATTCATAAAGTCTTAGCTGAGAAGTAGCTTAATCTTTTTACATCTCTGAGTCTTATAGTTTCATCAGTCCCCCCCAGTTGGCAAATTGAGCCAGTCTTGTGTGTGTGAGGCAAGTGCTGTAGCACTTAAGCAGCACTCCTCATTTAGCCTTTCTGTTCTTAATGGATTCCTTTCTGCAGACCCTAGAAAGCACCTTTCCTTGGTCGTCCTATATCTCTGATCTATAATCTTGAGATACCTCAAGCTTGAGTTAATTATTGTTAACTAGATAGTTTTACTATAGAGAGCTTTACTGTAAAAATTATTTCTTCTATATTTTTCCTTTTATCAAATTCATAGAACTCTATTGCCTTTTTCTACTTTTATGTCTTTAAACATTCCAAACTTGCTATACGCATTTTACAGTGTCAGCATTTTCCTTATGAAATTTCGTCTTTATAATTTTAAGTTCTACTGAAAATATCTTTTTACAGTGATAATAGGAATTTCTCAAAATAATATATCTATCTGGGACTTAAGTTTTTGAAAAGTATTCATAACACAATAAAACTTTCGAACTCTAAATTTTAAAAAGAAGGAAGAAGCTTTGCATTTATAAAAGCTTTTTCATCAAGACACTCAGAACCATCATGGCTGTAATTATGCCAAAGGAACATGTAAAATTAATATTTTTATTTTTAAAAGTAAATGATGCTTTTTTGGTGCTGTACCCATGTTATATTGATGTCTTTTATTTTTAAGAAGTATTAGCTCTTTGTATGCACGTATTAATGTTAGGAATTAATAGAAAGGAATGTATAGTTATTGCACTGTGGAAGCTTATGTCTTTAAAAAACTGGTTTTTAATATTTATGTAGTACATTTGAATGCCTGAAATAAATATATTTATTCAAATGCAATATCAAATGTCGAGTTCACTCTGTGCTGTTTTTTTTTTTGGAAGTGGGAACTGGGGATTGAACTCAGCCCCTTGTGCTTGCCAGGCAAGTGCTTATTCTACTGAGCCATCTTCCCGGCCCCCTACTCTGTGCTGTTTGTAGTTACAAATAGTTTAAGAAATGTTGTGCTTTATATAAAGTGATTTCATGGTTGAAATCTACTCTGGCAACGTCAATAGTGGAGTTAGTACAGAAACAGTAAAAACTCATACTACTGTGTATACATTTTCTGTCAGTAGGATTTGGGAGTTTTAATGAGCTACCACCATAACATTTAACACTTGTTTGAAATGAGTGCTTCCTTTAGAAGATGCAGTTATCACTTAATTTTGTAGAACTAATGTTTTGAATGAAGAGATGAAAACGATAATGATATCAGCAAGTCTATATAACAATATGTAATCTAGATATAACTTTGTGTCTGTTGCAATATTTATATGTTTCAGCATATTTGTATTCATTTGCTGCTGTAACAACCACAAACTTGGCAGCTTGACCAGTACACATTTATGGTTTTACAGTTCTATAGGTCAAACGTCTGGTGTTGGGCTAATGTCTAGGTGTTGATAGGGTTGTATTTCAGAGGTGAAGAGTTTTTACTTTCATCTTGATGAATGTAATCCTAGCTATGCAGAAGCCAATGCAAGAGAATCCCAAGTTCAAGACTAGCTTGGGCAACTTAGCAAAACCTGTCTCAAGAGCAAACTAAAGTTATTGGCAAAATCCAGTTTGATAAAGTTCTCATTTTCCTGCCATACGTAAGCTGAGAACCTTTAATAGCTTGCAGTGGCCACCATACCTTGAATACTACCTCTTATTTTCCATTTTCAAACACACCAATGTGAGGAATCAAGGTCTCATAATGCATCTTCCTGACCCATTCTTCTTCATTTACCAACTACTTTTTGAGATTCCTGTGTCTCAAAGATAGATAATACAGTCAATCTTGGCATTTCAGGCTTTTAACCTTAATCAAATCTGTGTGATTACTTTTATCATGTAAAGTGATATTCACAGCTTCCATAGATTAGAATATGCACATCTTTGACAGTCCATTATACTGCCTATCATATTGGCTAATCTGAGATAATTTAGTGTCTTATATAAGGGAATAAAATGAAACTGGTGTGAGACTTTATATTGTATTAGGAGAAATTAAAAACTAATCCAGCTTCTTTGTTGTTTCTACCAATCAACTTTGCTTATTTTGGCCTCAGGCTGAATGTGAAGTTGTTCTGAATGGGTTACTCTGATCCAAGGAGCCAAGTTACACAGAATTGCTGTTTTGTTTTATGTTGTATTGTTTTGTTATTTTCTCCTTAGGTAGAAGGAATTCAGATGTCTCAGATTAACAGACTGTATACTTTCTCTTTTCATTACTGTAATTATTTTCATATTACAAGAAATTAAACTTAGAAATTAGTTAGCTTGCTCAGTGTTTGATTAGTAAATAGTATAGCCAAATTTCAAGTGATCATTTTTAATGTTTACTTAGCTCATTCTGTACCGGTCTGCTGGACTATCTCTATTTTGTGATAGTAACTGATATTATTACTCTTATTAATTTGAAAAATTTGCTGTTAGATCATCAAATGGATTCAGTTTAAATTTTAATTTCATTTTTGTTTATTCAGGTGAAAAACCATACAAGTGTCAAATTTGCAATCAGTCTTTTAGAATTAAGAAAACTTTAACAAAACACCTAGTTATTCATTCTGATGCCCGACCTTTCAACTGTCAGCACTGTAATGCAACATTTAAGCGGAAAGACAAGCTAAAATACCACATTGACCATGTTCATGGAATTAAGTCTCCTGATGATCCTCTCAGTACTTCTGAGGAAAAACTTGTGTCTTTGCCAGTGGAGTACTCATCGGATGATAAAATCTTTCAAACAGAAACAAAACAGTATATGGACCAGCCCAAAGTTTATCAATCAGAAGCCAAGACTCTCTTACAGAATGTATCTGCTGAAGTGTGTGTTCCGGTAACACTGGTTCCAGTTCAGATGCCTGACACTCCAACTGATCTGGTTCAACATACTACTACACTTCCACCATCCTCTCATGAGATCCTGTCACCACAGCCACAGCCCACTGATTATCCACGTGCAGCTGACTTAGCTTTTCTGGAAAAATATACTCTTACTCCTCAACCTGCAAATATAGTTCATCCAGTCCGACCTGAACAAATGCTGGATCCTAGAGATCAGTCTTATCTTGGAACACTACTGGGCCTTGATAACACTACCGCTGTTCAAAATATTTCTGCTAATGAACATCATCCATGAGAAAACATTCCACATACTGTTTGATGGTTATGTGTAATGATAGCCAAAAGCTAGTGGCTTTTAAATCATTAGGGCTGCTATTATTATTATTTTGAATTTTCTCTAGTTTCTCAAGTCCTCAGAACAATTTCAAGAAAACTATTAATTGAACGTATAGATGTTTGGACATACTTTGGCATAATATTTAAATGTTTTGTGATTTTTTAAATTAGTACTAATTTTTAACGGTTCTTAAATTTTCAGAATTATTAGCTGCTGGCATTATAGGGTGTTTTTTTGTAATCATAACTGCAAATTTTTATTCTTTAGTCCCCTTTTTTCTCTTTCCCATCTGCAAATAAGTTTAAAGATCATGTAGCCATTAAGAAGGAATGTGAGAATGTATTGAAATTGCAACTGTTCTGTATCCTAATTTAAGATTTATTATTATTTCATCTAGATTTTTAAAATTGAAATTAGAAATTCAAAGATATAGGAAAGTTTGGGATATTTCTTTGTTGTCTTGACATCTATCCATAATTTTTGGTTATCATTCTCCTTTGGACTTTAGATAAACTCAAAGCCAGAAAGATAACAGGCAAGATGAGCATGTTAAAAAAAAGTTTAGCATTGAAATGATATTCCCAAAAGGTTAATTTTGTTTATATTTGAATTACAATGAGCAAGTGGCAAACATAGATTTAGACATTGACTTATGCAAGCTGAAAATGTATTGAAAGAAAAATATGCCATCTTTAACTAGATATCTTCAAGGTAAGTTCACTTTTTGTACTTTATCATTTATCACAGAAACATTAACAATATAACACAGCATGTATCTTCATCTCACTAAGTAAGGGGCTGTTATAACTAATGCCACTTATTTTACCATGCTACTTTGGGTTTTATTTGTCTAATTGAAACTGGGAATCAGAATCTACATATATTATGTGTGATTGTTAGAAAGTGCCAAACAGATTGTGAAATTTGCACCTAATTTAACCTAATATTGTTTGAGTGGAACTACTACTACTTGTGTACAGATTTACATCCAATCCAAATCTTTATTTTTGGTTTTGTATAAGCCTTCTAATATCTATAATTATCCTTGATTCTTATTTTTGTATGCGACAAAAGTCAAGGACTTGTTGAAAAGTAATAGCAATTGCAGCAAACCTCACTGATTAAATTCAATTAAGGAAAGATCAGAATTATAAGATACTTTTAAAGATGTGCACTTTGCATATTTTCAAGTCAATTTAGTTAAACTAGCATAATGTTTCCTATAGGGTGCTCGAGGATTAGTCTAGGCAGGATTGATTTACTATTAACATGCTATTTGTATATAAAAGATTGGACAATACCAATTTTAAAAGTTCTCTGTTTCAGTTTTTGTTTACACTTCTAATTGCTTTAAGCACTTTTTTTGTGTGTAAACTGTTGTTTGGCCTGGCCCTTGTGAAAAAAAAATCACAAATAAAATAAAGAACTTTCAATAAATAAAATTTAACCAGTTAGTAATAGAGGAAACTGTTAAAGCACTTAAGAAATGAAGGTACTTTTTAGGAACATTTGCCATATTGATAATAAAAGAAAAAACATGTTGAAAATTGAGGCAGTTAACCAAAGTAGTTGATGCAAATAAAAAAACCCTGAGTTTTGCCTTATTTACCAAGGTTTGGTTGTATCTTAGGACTAGTAGGCATAATTGCTCTATTATTTCTTCTTTTTAAAGCATTCTTATTTACTTTGTGTGGAAATGTAATATTTGGGGGTACTCACATGATTGAGCTTAATTATATGAGGTACTATTAGTTAATTCTTAAAATTGATTGCAAAAATATATCTTTTGATTTTTATCATAAAAACTGACAAGATTTTAACTAAAAATCATACTGTAGTGAAAGAACATATACTAAAAATATGTTCTGCCTTATGTATAAGATAATACAGAAAAATTTGGTCTTATAAAAAGGCAAATGGTATATATATATGTATGTGTGTGTGTATTATATGGTATATTGTATATTTGGTGGTTAAAAAAGGGAATATTGCATTTTCACATTGAAAAGAATACTGTGCATTTTGAAGGTATTTAGGGTTCTTTTAATATTCTAATGCTTTAAATGTATGATTTAATTGTAGAAATTGGTTTACATAGAACTTTTCTGAAACACATCTCTTATGTAAAGTGAATACATTTATATAATTGTATGTAGTTATTTTAGGTAATTTAAACTTGAATAGTGGTTTACTGTTTTCTAGAATGCCTTCACATGTTACTTCGTTTGAACCTCATAATCAGCTCTGTAATAGAAAAGACATGACAAATTCCTGCTTTAGATAAGAAGAATCTGATATTGAGGTTGAAGGATGTATTTAAGCTCATGAGGTCAAAATGGCAGAGCTACTAGGAAGGAAAGAAGACAGACAGCATTGATGAATGCTTACCATGTGCTAGGCACTACATTCTTTCACTGTTAACCCAGTCTTAGAGGTAGGTAATATACTTCTTAGGAAAGAAATGGGTGGACAAAACAAGAAGAAAATTAATCTGCCTATAATTTCTAGAAGTATATGACATTTTTTAGATTGGGAAAACCTCATGGATTTGGGCAAACTGAATGTATATAAGCTTTTGAAGTTGGCACAAAAAGTATAAAATGAGGCCTGTGGTTTTTAGTTGATCTTTCTATAACTTTAAAATCCATTTATTTTGTAACTATACTTAAAATTTTGAATCTCACAATTAAGTTTAGCCTCATTGAGAATTTTTTATTTTATGAGTATAATTTATTGTTTTAAATTAATTCTTTAGCAGGTAGAACTTAGCACTTAATCTGTAAATTGAGTAATTTATCAAGTGCAGAAATTTATTAACCTAATCAGTTTTGACTTAAATGCACCAAAGATTTTTAGTAGGTATTAAACCATTTTAAAAGAATTTAAATTCTTTGTTGTTTGAATAAATATTTGTCCAAAGAAGCACAGTTGAAGTCCTAGGAAAATGGATTTTTAAAAAAATCATTAGTTTGAATACTAAGGTTAAATATTAGATGTTTGTGTTTGTTTGTATGTATAAAAATAAGAGCAAAAGAAAGTACTCTGGGAATAGACTGACAAACCATTTGCAGTAAGAATACTGTTTTCCTCAATTTAATTGAATGTTATGTTTTTTAGTGAACACTATTAAATGCTAAACAAGCTTATTTTTCACACTACATTTCAAAATCATTTTTGCCTTAGAATTTTTTTAGATCAAGTTGAGGTTATTTTTATAAGATGCCCAACCTATTTTTTACAGCCTATAATACCTTTTAAGGTTAGGATTTCTTCCTCAAGCCAGCAGGATAAAACCAACAACTATAAAAGTAGTAAATAATCTCTACACTTAAGTAATCGACATTTATTGTGGAGAAAAGAGGAGTAGCAAAAAACGTTATACATTGGTGCTTTAGAAAAGTGATGATAGGTTTATAAAATAAGTACATTAATAATTTTCTGTCAACCTTTAAAATAATGTCAAAACATCTCTGTAGAGTAAGTAATGAAGTATTAGATAAGGGGTAATATATAACATGATCTTTTTGCCTTTCTGCAGTTGCAAAGAAGCACTGAAATTGGTGTCTATAATGGTGAACTTTCTTCCCACTGTCACTCCAGTATATTATTGATGAAAAGTCAGATCTTGAGCTCTAGCTCTTTGACAGTGTCCTTTTATGCTGTCTTTCTTTGTGCCTTTTCAGAGTGTTGTTGGTTAGACTTGAAGTTAGATTGTACTTGTTAATAAATGATTTTTATTTTGCTTTTGGTTTGGCTTTGGGATTTGTTGTTTAGGGGCCTTATTTTTGTGTTGCCTGCTGGTTGGGCAATAACTTTTTTGGTTGGTTATTGTTTATGTAGGAAAATTGGCACTAAATACTAGAAAAAAATTTGGTTTTATGATTTATATACAATTTTTTTTTAAAAAAACAACCTTTATTGTTTCCTTTGTAGTTGTTACTATGAAGCCACTTTTGGGCCTGTCTCTAGATGCTTATTAGAAGGATCTGACAAATAAAATGCGTAGTCTCTCTCCCTCTCCCTCCCCCCTCCCTTTCCCCCTTCTTCCATCTCCCTCCTCTCCCTCCCCTTCCCCTCCCCCCTCCGTTTCCCCCTTCCTCCTCCCCTTCCTCTTCCCCTCCCCCTCCCTTTCCCCTTGCTTTCCTCTCCTTCTCTTCCTTGTTTCCCTCTCTCCCTCTCTTTAGTAATAACCAGTTACTGTAACTATACAGCTCTGTATGGAGTCACTTCTTACTTCAGTTTGCCTAACACTGAACAAGAGGTGCACATTTGAGATGAGTTTTGCCTTTGGAACATCAATATCACAATCAACTTAAAACTTTAGTTGATCAACTCAGAAAAATTGAGGACCTTTAACAGTCATAGTTAGATAGGCTAAGACCTAGTGCCAAATTGAAAGTGACTGAAACTGTATTCTTTAATAAGAATACGTAGCATTTCCAAAACTTTTAAGTATTATTATGCATATGTTACTCACAATTAGAGTAAGTAATGGAGAATGTGAGAATAATTTTCTAAATAATTTCTGGGAACTCAGCAATTCCATAGATCCTACCCTTTTTCTTATACATTGCCCCCAGTATAGTCTGTAGTATTATTTGGAGGATCTTCTCTTATTTCCTCTAAAATATTTTTACCTAAGATACTTTGTCCCTACAATATTAGCATGCTTTGTGCTCTAGCATTAATAAAATAGAAATAACAGAATAAGGTTGTGTAAAAGATAAGAAAAAGATGGTTTTGATAGCCCTTAGATTTGCTTACTCTTCACGTTTTCAACTTGCTGTGTATTGATCTTAATTTTTTAACTCTTAAAAAATCCACAATTTAAATTCTCTGCAGTCATTTAAATACAGAGAAATTAAGGGTTTTATTCAGACAATAAAATTTATACAACAGTGAACATAATGTTTTTTTATCTCATTTTTTGCAAGGTAATTGCAGTGCTTGCATTACTGTTGGAGATTCTAAAACATTTCTGCAGAGCATGTACACACCTCATCATTACTCAACCTCTTTCCTTGATATTACTACTTGCATTAAAGTTGGACAGTGTACTGTGTGTAATCATGAAATTTTTATTCCTTCTAACAATCAGACTCTTATCCCTATAGATAAAACAATTACAGTGAATGAGTGTGGCTGCCAAAAAAAAAGATACAAAGCTGATATATAGCTGCTCCATCTTGTGTAATAAATGTTATGACTAAAGGGGTTTATGGTGTACATTAAAATAGAACTGCTTTTGAACTTGCTTTTAGTCTCATAATTTTTGTTTTTAAGACCACTTTAAAAGCAATTACAAAGAAAATTTAAAATATCAAAATTCACTATTGTCAACTGTGTGTCAAACTATTTTGTGAGTTTTAATAGCTATTTTGTTTGTCTCATGTTTCTTAAGTATGTCTTTATAGAAAAATTCCATTCTCTGTGAAGAATAGGACGTGTCTTGTATATTGAATTAGTTCCTTGTGTTATTTTGATATTTAAAATAAATAGAAAATTCTTTGGTCCTAATAAAAACATATCTAGGTTTCATTGAATTACATTTTCACAGCCTGGGAATGGAGCACTCTACATGCCTCTGTAAAAATTGAACACAAATTATTATTTTGGGACACATTTAAATTTTTTTTTCTCATAAATTATATATTTTAAAATATTTTATATATTTGTGAACTGCTCAACAATGATCTTTGAGTGTCTATAAATTCATATATTCATGATACAATTTTTATTTTTTATCTGTAGTATATAGCATGAAAATAGTCATGCTGTTTGGAAGAAGAGTCAAAGTACAGAAAATTCCATGAATGAAATGAGTTATTCACTATAATACTGAGAGTGAGCAGTCTTACCTCATACCCCTTGAAACATATATACTGACCATGTGAAAAGAGACTTCTGGCTTAAGGAATCAGTTGTGTGCTAGGAGACAGTACCCTAACCTTGCAAGCTGTTGGATGTTTTGGCCCCATAGCAGACAATTTCAGTCTCTATCAGGGCAGCTGCTTCTGAGTGTTAGAAAGCCAATAAATTGTACGGCCTTGAGTCCTTTTCTATGAAATGAATCTTATGATCATTATACAGTGTTTTGTGTGATACTTACCTATTGCTGTCTGACACCCTATACCAGACATGGCTTAGAACAATAGATATTTAATATCTCACAAATCTGGGTGTCAGCATCACATTTGTAGAGCTGGTGGTTTTGGCTCAAGGTCTTTCAGGAGGTTGAAGTCCAGCTGTTAATTATGTTTACAGTCTCAGCGTGGAAAACTAGAGATCAGTTTTTCAGTGTTATGACCAGTGTCATGCACATTGTACCTCACTATTTTCTTGCTCAGTGGGTAACTATAATGGCAGGTAACAGAAGTATAGGCTGGGACTGACTTTTTTATCTCTAGTATACAAGGCTGATTATTTTCCAGTTAAGTCTTATTCTCAATGAAACACATGTTTTAGGTATTCATCCCCACCTCCTTTGCCCCCTCCCCTCAGAATCTGGAAGAGTGAAAGGAACTCAGAATTTAAGATTAGTCTCTTCTAAACCCAATCTTGGAAGTAATACTGCATCACTTCTGCCATATTGTATTGTGAATCATTAATCTCATTTCATAGCAAGAGAAATTAACCTTCCACTCTTGAAGAGTGGAAGAGTAGCAAAGAATATTTGACATATTTTGTAGAACATGACCAGTTTCATTTATTATAGATAGAGCTTCTGATAAATACATAGATAATAGGGTTAGGCACCACAATCGATACTCAGAAAATGCTTGTATCCTAGACAGGCAAAATTCTGGCATGAAGAGAAAAAGTTTTGAAGTAACAGTATGCCACAGGTAAGCAGATCCACTGGAAGAGGAGTGGATTTATGTTGGGAGGTTAGCACTGGCTTCCATTAGCAAACTAGGTACTTGGCTGTGGTGAGCTAGATCAAGGGGTGACCATGTTTGAGCTCATTGTCTGTCTCTATCCCTGCTGCCATTGTTAATTCATATGGGCTAAGTGAACAAGTTGTGCCACAGGACAAATTGTCTTCTCTGCTTTATTGTTGAGCTTCTTCCATGGATGTTCTCTAATAGACATTTGCATGAGATAAAATATGAACTTTACCTCTTTTGACAAGCCATTTTGCATACCTCTTCTTGGCTATCCTGCCACTCATTTCCATTGTGATTCTCCCAGAGCTCAGCTGGCCCAGCCCATTACTTACCACCTGTGGATCCATATGGAACTTTACCTTGGCAGTGTCCTCCTTATGATCTGGATAACCAGATATGCCATCTAACAACCTCACTAGGCTTTCTGCACATCTCTCAGAGGAGGCTGTTATTACATAGGCTGCTATCTAACCAATCACACAAATCCATCCAAAACCAAGCCTTTGAGTTTCTTCATGAAATTATAAAATCCCTAGCCTTCCCTTCATATAGTTTGACAGCAAGATAGAAAAGTAGGAGAAAATACAGTATATAGGAATTTGAGTTGCTTCTTTTGTTTGTGTATTTGGAATCTGCATAGCCTTGGGCTTATGTATGCCACTTCTGTTTGATGATGAAATGCTGCTTCTTAAATCCAGTTTTTATGGTTCTTTAGATCCCAAGTTAGCAAACTTTTGTGAAGAGCCAGAGTGTACATATTTCAGGTTACGCAGGCAATACGATTTTTTTCTTTTGTTGTATTTTTTAGGGAAGGGTCTCACTACTAGATCAGACTCATAGTGATCCGCCTGTTTACAGCCTCCCAAGAGTGCACGCCACCATGCCCAGTCTCAATTGCTGTCTCAGCGTGGTCCGGGGATGGGGCTGGCACTGCAGGCCTGGGGATTAAAGCCCTGGCCCCTGTGCCTGCTTGTAGGCTAAGCTATTTGGCCAGCCCTAATGATTTCTGTCACAAATATTCTGCTAGTATAAGCAGCTATAGACAGTATGTAAGTGAACTGACATAGTGAACTGAAAATAATAAAATTATTTTTCAAAGTTAATGGACAAGATTGGACCCTTCTGGACATACCAACTGATCCTAGATTACATATTATAGTTGGCAATTGGCAGTTTGAATCACATAGCCACTTGTCCTATGATTAAACATTTAGAATCTAACATAACATAGAAAAATGAGGATCTGCTGTTCAAATGGCAGATGCTTGTCCATAGAGAAAGACGTACACTTATTCTCAAGCCTAGAATTTCATACCATGTAACTTGTATGTAAACTTTCAGGTCTAATACATGCTTGAAACATAGGCCTCTTACGCCATATGACACAAGTAGCACAGCTATGTATGTGAAGTGGACCTATTGCAGAGGCCTTGTTTGATCTGGTCCCCAATCAAAAAATCAGCCTTATAGTTTAGATAAATGGATTGGTGAGATACACACAAATAATTGACTCCAAAATCTTAAAGAGCTCATTCCAATGATACAAAATACTGCAGCTGCTTTTTTAGAAGGATTTTTCAAGAGAACTGTATCTCTAAAAATGTTACTGATACTGCAGAACTTTGTCGCAGTTTATTGCTTGCCATCTGGCTGATGTTTGTTTTGTTACTGGCTTTTGGAGCACTTGCTACTTTTAGGAGACATAAATCATCATGGGCCTTGAACAGGACTCCATATTCTTGCTAGTTTTGCCAGGAATGGCAGACTTCACTCTTTACCTAAGCTATTTTTCAGGATTTTTTTTTTCAGGGAGCTATTATCAAGGATAATGTGTTATGTTCCTGCCAAGACATAATACTATAAAAACAATCAAATGTCTAACTCAGTATTCCTTTCATTTAATGTGATCCACCATGAATGTGTGGCATTCACCATGGCCCCATTATATTGCCTCCATGAGACTTGGGAACAGGGAAATCACTATGAATGAGCATGCTGATAGGCCATGCT